GGAGAGGGTCGGGTCGGGTCGGGCAAGGGCTGGGCCGGCGGGCGGCCGGTGCCCGCTCTCCTGTGATCCAACTCTTTCTCCCCAGTGTCACCCACGTTGGCCTGGACCCAGTCTCCAAGGGCTAAAAATATTGCCCGGAGGCTCCTGAGCGGAATCAGATCGCGCTAAGTAGGGCACAACGCAGAGGCGACGGAGTTCCTCGGCCCCAGGGCCCGCGGAGCTGCTTCCGAGCGCGTTCCCGCCCACGCCCGGCTCGCAGCAAGCGTCCTCCCTCCGCCCAGCAGGCAAGTGGGGGCCCAGTGGCGGCGGCAGCGGGCATAGGTCCTCTGAAGTTGCCCCACAAACGAGCAGCAGCTGTGCCTGGCCTCTCCCTGCCCGGGGGACCTTCAGCATCACTGCAGACTTTCCAGGGGGTCCCCTAAGTGCTCTGTAAAGGCGGCTGGAAGTTTCCCACTGCAGGAATCAATATACCAACAAGGAGAATATGTAGGACTCGCTTTATGTTAGAAGCACAAGCATCTTTCTTCTTTAAAAAAAATCGTTCTGTGTTTCTGAGAGAGGATCTGTGCCAGGCACTGTTTCTGGTGAGTGCCAGCCTGACCCAAGAGGGCAGGGACAAAGGCTTTCTTGTCAGTCTCTTTGGGCTCTGGCTGTGTCTTTAAATCAAACAAGATAGAGACCAGTTTAGTCATCTGAAGCTAGAAGCACATGGCCAAGGAGCCTGAGCCGCACTTCCTGTAGGCAAGGAAGCTGGTTGTGATCTGTGGGTTGTGCGGTCAACTTTGGAGTCAGAGCTGGGCCTCCGTTATCCCAGACCTGCTTTTCATAGCATTGGCCAAGGGAACGCATGATCACCCTAAGGGCAGGGTTGCTACCAGGACCAGGTGGGACTGGCATCAGATCTCCACTTGTGCTTTCTTTTTTTTTTTTGATTTGGAGTCTCACTCTGTCACCCAGACTGGAGTGCAGTGGCTGCTCCCAGCCACTGCAACCTCAACCTGCTGGGCGGGCTCCAGCAATCCTTCCACCTCAGCTTTCCAAGTAGCTGGAACTATAGGTGCGTGCTACCATGCCCCGCTAATTTTTGATTTATTGTAGAGATGAGGTCTCACCAAGTTGCC